AAATACACTACCTTCCTCTATGTACGAGGCCAAAAAGACATTGTCTGCTTTAGGGATGAGTTATGAGAAAATCCACACATGTCCCAATGACTGCATATTGTATAGGAAGGATTATGAAGATTCAACTAATTGTCCTACTTGTGGTGTCTCAAGGTGGAAGGAAGGCAAAGATTCAATCTTGAAAGAGGGTGTGCCAGCGAAGGCGGTGTAGTATTTTCCTCCAATTCCAAGGTTTAAAAGGATGTTTCAATCACATAAGACAACTAAGAGTTTGACTTGGCATACTGCTAGAAAATCAGTTGATGGTCAAATGTCTCATCCAGCGAATTCCCCGTCTTGGAAACTTGTTGATGATAAATGGCCCGAGTTTGGTAAAGAGCCGAAAAACTTGAGATTGGCTCTCTCATCTAATGGATTCAATCCTCATAGTTCTTTAAGTAGCAGATATAGTTGTTGGCCAGTTATCTTAGTTACATATAATCTCCCACCATGGCTATGCATGAAACGGAAGTTCATGATGTTGACCTTATTGATTTCTGGTCTTAAACAGCCTGGAAATGATATAGACGTCTACTTAGAGCCTTTGATTGATGATTTAAAATCTCTGTGGGATGGGATTAGAGGAGTGTATAATGCACATATAAGAGAATACTTTACACTCAGAGGTGTATTATTGTGAACAGTTAATGATTTTCCTGCCTATGAGAACTTATCTGGTTGTGTCATTAAAGGATATAAAGCTTGTCCAATATGCGGCGATGATACACCTAGTCACAAGTTGAAAAATGGCCACAAAATTTGTTACATTGGGCATATAAAATGGTTACCAATCAATCATCCATATTGGAGGTAGCGTGCAGCTTTTAATGGAAAATCTGAATACGGCACGCCTCCTGAGCCATTAAATGGAGAAGAAGTGTTGTACATTGTTGAAGATATTAATTGCATATGGGGTTCGAAAAATGGGGGAAGTGTTAGTGAGAATGATGGTGACAGAGTTTGTTGGAAGAAGAAATCAAAATTCTTTGATCTCGAGTATTGGAAATACCTTCATGTAAGGCATGTCCTAGATGTTATGCATATTGAGAAGAATGTTTGCGATAGTATCATTGGTACATTGCTGGAGATCCCTGGAAAAAGTAAAGATGAGATTGTTGCTCGGTTAGATTTATTGAACATGGTGGTCAAAACTGATTTGCAACCCGAGTATGGACAAAGACGTACTCCTTTGCCTCCAGGGCCTTGGAATTTTTCAAAAGCAGAGAAGAGAACGGTTTGCAATTCTTTCTATGGTATGAAGGTCCCTGAAGGTTATTGTTCAAATGTAAAAAATCTTGTATCTTTAAAAGATTCAAGACTTCTTGAACTTAAATCTCATGATTGCCATACCTTGATGCAACAATTGCTCCATGTGGCAATTCGTTATGTTTTAGAGAAGCCTGCAAGGTATGCAATAACTCGATTGTGCTTCTTCTTCAATGCTATATGTGCAAAGACGGTGGATGTTTCCAAGCTAGATAAGTTGGAAGAAGATGTAGTAGTTACTTTGTGTTTGCTTGAGAAGTACTTTCCCCCTTCAGTCTTTGATATCATGGTTCATCTAGTAGTACATCTTATCAGATAAGTTCGTCTATGTGGTCCAGTATATTTTAGATGGATGTATCCGTTTGAAAGGTATATGAAAGTGCTAAAATGGTATGCTCAGAACCGTACTCGTCCGGAAGGTTGCATTGTTGAGCGGTATATAGTTGAAGAAGCTGTAGAGTTTTGCACCGAGCATTTATCTGAAGTTAATATAGTTGGAGTGCCTTCAAGCTAGAAGATGGGAGTTTCGAAGCCATTATCAGGTTGCACAGTAAGCTTAGTTGATCGGGACTTGTTAAACTAGGCACATTTATATGTCTTGGAGAATACAGAGGAAGTCCTACCTTACATCGAGTACGTATAACTTTTATTTTTCATATGGAGCCATTTTAAATATTATAATTTCTTATGTTTATCTTATATACAAGGAATCATAATGCTTGATTTTTTGGTGTCAATATAGGGAACATATGATCCACATCAAGACCACTTATCCAAAATTTAGAAAGAGAACAAAGTG